CCTCCTTTAGGCACCTCTGAGGCCCTTGGGCTTTGGACCCCTTGCTGTGCTAACCTGGGTCCAATCTTCCGTCTCTCCATCTCTTCTCGAACTTGTTTTCCCTCCTGATTGTTTTGTATCTGTGATTCTGGACCTCTTGACTTCGGTCCCGTGTTAGTGAGAACGCGCAGAGCAGCGTTGACCCCGCCTTGCTTACCCTGTAGGCCCTTCCCCTCCCTCTCCGCCTCTCCGTCTGTGTCCTCTGCTCCCTCCATGCGTTGACCTCTTGGTTTTGTGGCCTCAGCCAGTTGTCCATTCCTGTGGAACCTGCCCCTGGGACTCAGTTCCCCTTTGTGTTCTGGTGTCTTCTAAGTCACACCCCCGCGGGGAGCCGCTCCGTCTTCCACCCTGAGTGGCATTTTGTTAACCCGCCTGCTTCTGATGCACGCCCTCCCCCACAGCTGCCCAAGGTGCCTGGTCTCCCTACAAGCCACTCGCTGAGCCTTCCGTGACTGCAGCCCCCGGGGTTGGCATCTTGGTTCTGCGGTGCTCTGTGGTGCTGCGGTTCTGAGAGTGTCGCTACCTGGACTGCACCACCGCGTGTGCTGTCCTTCCAAGTGCACGTGACTGTCTCTCCCCTGGGCACTTTCCGGGGTGTCCTGCGCCTGCCCCACACCAGGCGGTGTCGGGAAGGCGAATGAATTTCCTTACCTGGGCTGAGATTTACAGCGTGAGGCCTGGGGTGGTGCTGCAGGAGATGCCGGTGCTCAGGCCAGGTGCTTGGGAGTGTTCGGTTAAGTTTATTCTACACCGGTGAGCGTTAGGGTTTTTGTTTTATATTTTGTTTTTGGTACTGGGGACCAAACCCCAGGCCTTGTTCGTGCTAGGTAAGCACCGCCACAGATGCCAGCATTCCGCTACACAGCCTTTTAGCAGGTCCCAGGCCCCACCTTTCTTCTTTCATCTGCTTGTTTCCTTCTTTGCAGTGCTTAGGTGGAGCCTAGGACCTCATACTTTTTTTCTTTTTTTTTTTTGAGATAGGGTCTTACTGTGTAGTTGAGATTGACCTGGAACTCACTGCGTATCCCAGGTTGGTCTCGAACCCAGGTTGGCGATCCTCCTGCCTCAGCCTCCCAAGTGCTGG